TACTTCGGTCCTTCTGCCTGCTCTGCTCCCGCTCTGGCTCTGGTGGATTCTCTCACCCTCCCGCGCTTCTGACTATACCCAGTGCATGTATAAATAAATAAATAAATCTTTTAAAAAAAAAAAAATAAATAAATAAAATTGTTCTAAAGTTAAAAAGTCCATTAAAAGAAAAAAGAAGGCTCATATTGCCTAGTTGACTCAACCCAGGTTAGAACTGGGACTAGAGGGCATAGGGGTTAAAGACACAGCACTATCAAGCTATCACCAGCCACTGCATTGTAGGGGAATAAATGGCCAGCAATCAGGTATTTTAGGAAACACAAGATTAGAATCTAGAATCAGAGTCATAAATACTGGGAATAAAATGAATTGTATCTTTTGAATAAACTATTGTACTTTTTATATTTCTTGCCCAGGGTTCCTGAAAGCATGACTAGGTTGAAGCTCATAGGTGAGAGAAGCTAGGATGGCATTGGGGAGGAGCGAGCTAGGGAACCAGTAGAGCGTGGTGCCTGACTTTCATCTTTCAAAAGTCTTTTAGGTCAGTAAAAACTTTAATTATCTTTGGTTTTTCTGCTTGACAGACTAGTCTCATGCTGTTCCTTTACATATGCTTCAATCATAAATGACCTCCCATTCCTATCACCACTTGGCTCTTTCGGTTGAGCTATTTGGGGTTCTTCCCCCACCTTCCCAATGTCCAGTACTTAGTCCTCTGAAACATCAACTATTAGCATATGTAAATGCCAGCGTGTATGTTATTACCAATAACACAGTACTTTGACTCTGCCTCTAGAAGTGGGTCAATCTAGCACAATTAGAATTGCTACTTAATGACCCTGCAGCATGAAATGCCCCTGCAGCCACTCCTCACAGAGCTTCTTCCAGGCCAAGGCCCATATACCATTCATCTCTATCTTTATTATCTTGATGCTTTATTATCTTGTGCAGCCCTCAATATATTTTTTCAGTTTTTTTTTTTAAAGATTTTTTTACTTATTGCATAGAAGAACTGATGTGTAGGCCAGAGGTGCGGTGAGTGAGAGAACTCACCAGAGACAGAGTGGGAAACAGAACAGGCAGACTGACCAAAGTATACTGCTGAGGGGAGCAGCGGGTAAGACACAAGAGGTCTGCTGTGCCATGTGTTTAGCTCCCTGGTCAGGGATCAAACTCCGACCATTGCCCTTTGTGGTCATATCACTGAGACTGAACCCCTCAGCCACCAGGGGGCCTCTATTTTTTTCAGTTTGCTGAAGCAATGGCCACCTTACTAAAAATTTCTGGACTCCCCAGATCCTCTCTTCTCTGTTTAGTTTTTCTCCCTTGTATGTACAGTTATGGGTTGAATTATGACCCCTCTCCCCCCAAAGATGTTGAAATCAGAACCCCCAGCACCTGTGAATGGCAACTCATTTTGCAAACAGGGTCATTGTAGATGATCCAGTTAAGAAGAGGTCATTAGGATAGGACCTGATCCAATTTGATTATATCCTTATGAAAAGGAGAAATCTGGACAAATGCATGTACAGAAGCAGAATGCTGGAGATGGAGATTGGAATGACGTACCAGAAGTCAAGTAATGCCAAAGACTGCCAGCAAATCAGTGGGAAGTAAGAGAGAGAAACATGGACAGGTTATCCCTCCCAGCTCTTAGTAGAAACAAACCCTGCCAACACCTTGCTCTCCAACTTCTGGCCTCCAGATCAGACAGCACATTTCTGGTTAAGTCAATCAGTTTGCCGTACTTTATTATGTGGTACTTTATGCTAGCAGGCTGACACACTTAGCAACTTTACCTTTTAACTGGGTAATTGTCTGTTTCCATGACCACAATGCAAACTCCTTTAAGTCAAGGATTTTACCTGTTTTGTTCACTCATGAATCATCAGCTAGTAGAGAAGTTTCTGGAATATCACAGCTCACAATATTTGTTGAAAAAGTACTATCCACAAACACTTTGGAGGAAGGGAATTTCATGATAATGGGGCATTGTTCTTGTTTGAAAACAATCTACATGAAAATGGTCCCACTTCTAAAGCAATTATCAAGACTGATCAATTTAAAATAAAATATACAAAAATCTCAGAAGTTGTAACTATTGCTGATTTCCATAGTTAACTAGTGCTTGGGACTTGTGAATATACATGGTTAAATTTGGGAACACCAGCCATCAGGGCGTTTCCCTGTTGCTTCTTCTGATTTTTAAGTCTACTCTTCTGAATGAGGTAGAGTAAGGTCAAGGGTAGAAAACTCTTTTGTTCTTTCTCATCCTTTTCTTTCTGCTACTGATCCAAATATTTTAGTAACTGAACATGCATGAGTTAAGGAATTAGAATTACATAATTTTATTTTCTCTGTCATTAAGAACAGTGCATCTATCACTCTTTCAGGTTATCTTTTCTCAGTGTAAAGGAGGAAAAAGAAAGTTTCCTCAAACCTCTTAGGGTTCCTGGCTGGTTGTGAAAATTAAACTGATCAAGACAGTTTTTTTTTTTTTTTTTAAGATTTATTTATTTATGCATACAAGAACTAGGGTACAGCCAGAGGTGTGGGGGGTGAGAGAATTCACCAGAGACAGTGGGGAACAGAACAGGCAGACTGAGGGGAGCAGCGGGCGAGACAGGAGAGGTCTGCTGGACCATGTGGGTAGCTCTCTGGCTGGCCAGGGATGGAACTCATGCTGCAGAGGCTGTGGATAGCTTCATAGTGCTGTGCTTAACCCTTTGCACCACCAGAGAGGCCCCGATCAAGACAGTTTTACTGCGAAAAAAGCATACAAATTTATATTAAAATTTCTCTGACAATGTTTCATAAGGGAATGCAGACCCCAAGACAGCAAAATCTACTTGCTTTTATATTTCATTGAACAAAGAGGCAATTGTGGAAATATAACTAAACTATTTGGGGAGGCTAAATAAAGATAAGGATTCTTTGAACTAAGTCTGTATAGAATTCTCTTGGTCTCAACTTCTTGTTCTTTTTTTTTTTTTTTTTTTTTTTAAGATTTATTTATTTATTTATACAAGCACTGGGTACAGTCAGAAGCGCGGGAGGGTGAGAGAATTCACCAGAGCCAGAGCAGGGAGCTGAGCAGGCAGAAGGACTGAAGTACACTGCTGAGGGGAGCAGCGGGCGGCAGGAGAGGTCTGCGCGCCATGTGGGACCCTCCTCCGGTGGCCGGGGAGCAGCCGGGGATCGAACCAGTGCCGCAGAGGCTGCGGGCAGCTTCGCAACCCAGCGCTCAACCGCTGCACCACCGGGGAGGCCCTCAACTTCTTGTTCTTGATAAGAATATTACTTTCCTTCTGGTATAGGGAGAACGTCTTTCATATAGGAATTTCTTCTCATAGAGGAAGGACAGTGTTTTTCTTTTATTTGCTTTTTCTCAGGTGCCCCCAACTCAATATGGCAAAGCAGCATATCATATGCTGACATATACCCCTTCAGCAGCACACTTAGAATTTCTCAGCAGTCCTGGGTGAGAAAATCAGAGTTTGAAGAAGTTGCAGAGTGGAAGCCTGGCCTCCTACATCTCAATCATAACTGCATGTTTTCTCTTTTTAGGTCTGGGAAGACCCAGAAACATGAAAGCTATTTGGTGTTAGAATTGGAAGGAATAGAAAGAAGTTTGCAGAGCTCTGGACTCTGGTCATCACCTTTGGCTCTTCTGAGGAGACCGTGGGCAGTGAGCAAGGGGAGGAGAGACTTTTGTCCTGATGAGTAAGGACTAGATCTAAGGGCCGACTTCCCAATAGTCTTCCTTCAGATACACACACAAACTGAAGTATAGAATTTCCCAACACTGTCTTGCAATTTTCGGGTATCCTTCAGATAAGCTTCAGATGGCACCATGAAGCTAGGGGGGACAGCATGAGGAAGATTCTGGCAGCTCTGCGAAGGCCCAGGACCAGGCAAGAGGTGTGTGCCAGACCTGCCCCCCTTGGGCTCGCTTAAGTTTATGCAGTGTAGAACTGGCATCAAGAAACCACCCAGGTGCTGATTCCGAGGTGTTCAGGGTGACCTTGGTGATCCTTCATCTCAGATGCCAAACTGCAGCTGCTAGCTTCAGTTTTATTTGCTGTTTTTCAGGTGTCTCCAACTCAATATGCCAAAGCAGCATATCACGGGCTGACATGCCCCGAACCCCTATATCCGCATCCCCAGCAGTCCTCTTCTGGAACTCGGGGTTATTCTATGGCCTCCTAAAATCCTCCCCCAATTGCCTTTCCTTAGAACCATTTGGAAGGACAGGAGCAGCAGCCTGGGAATTCCCACTCGTTTACTCGGGCACCCTGGGTGACACCAGCTATCGTCGCCCCTCGGAGGGGGTGCCTGGGCTCGTCTGTAGGGTCCAGGGCTCACGCTCTCTGTGTGTGTGTGTGTGTGTCCAGGGCTCGCGCTCTGTGTGTGTGTATGCGTGTGGGGGGGTGTGTGTTTCCAGGGCTCGCGCGCTTGTCCAGGGCTCGCGCGCTGTGTGTGTGTGTCCAGGGCTCGCGCTCTGTGTGTGTGTGTGTGTGTCCAGGGCTCGCGCGCTGTGTGTGTGTCCAGGGCTCGCGCGCTGTGTGTGTGTGTGTGTGTTGAGGGGGTCACGCGGGATGCCACGCGCCCCCGGGGCAGGTGTGCCGCGGGCGCGTCTCGGGCGGGTTCGCGGGCCCGGGCGCGGGCGCGGGAGGACGCTCGAGGCCCGCCGCCCAAGGGGGGCGCGTGCGCCCGAGCGCGCGCGGAGCAGCCGCGGTGGCACCGCTGCGCGCAGCCTCCTCCCGCTCCCACAATGCACAGGGCGGCGGCGGCGGCAGCATCGCGGGGCGCCGAGGGGGCTGCGGCAGCGACCCCGAGCCCCCGGGGCACGCGGAGCGCGCGCCTGCTCGCCGCCGGCCGGGCGCGGATGGCGAGGACCCCGCGCGCCGCCCGCGCCTGAGCCGCCCCGCCCCGCCCCGCCCCGCCCGGGCGCCCCGCCCTGCTCCTGCCGGCGGCTGCCCGGGCGCTGCTTCGTCGACGCGGGCGGCCCCAGGCTCGGTGCGGCCTCCGCAGAGGCGGGGGGCGTCGGCACCGCGGGGCCCCGCCATGGCCGCGTCGGAGCTCTACACAAAGGTAACGCGCCCCGCGGGTCGCGCCCTGGGGAGGGGGACGCGCGGCCGCAGCTGCCACGCTGGGCGCTGGTGGGGGGGGCCCGGCCCGCGCACCTCCTTCCCCAGCATTGCACAAGCCCGGCCCTGCCCGCGCAGAGGCGCCTTCCTCTTTCGGGCGGTGATGAGCAGGGCGCGCGGGGAGGCCTGTCTGGCTCCCGGGTCTCGGGGCTGGGAGCTGAGGGGGCTTCTGAGTGGAGTGGGGGGTCCGTGTGGATTTAATAGGGCGCGTGTGGGTCAGCATCGGGCAGCCCTCCGGCTTGATTTAGGAATAGTGGCTGTGGGAGATGCTTGATCTGGCAGAGGATGGTCGGTCCCTCCCTTGGGGCACGCGTTAAAATAACGTCTGGCGTTGCTATGCGGTCAGCCAGCCTTGCTGGGAATTGTTTGGAGCCCTGCAGATGGTCGCCAGTGGATTTTTACCCTTAGCTGGGGGTTTCAGATGGCTGCCCCGGGTGGGGGGGAAGCCCTAGGGAAGGAAGATGCGGCTGAATAAATGCGAGCTGATTCCTGGGCCGGGATGGACGTTACTCGTTTGTCACTGGGAGTCGGCAGCCCGCTCGCGTGGAATCCCTGTGAGGCTTGTTAGGCTCCATGTCTTCACCATCCGCTGGGGCGAGCCTTTTCCTTTAACTGATGGGTAGTGGCAGCCTTTGCTTTCTTATGCTGACTCCAGGATTCTCCGGGTCTGGCAACCTCTGGATGGCTTATTTTGGAGAACTGCTCCTTTGAAGACTGTTCTGAACATTTATCTTGGGCATTTTGTGGTGCCCTTTGTCAATATGTATAGTCATGGCATTTTATACGGTAGTTCATGTGTAGTTAGGTGTTTTGCCAGCTATTTATTACTTCTAATTCTAGTTAACAGAATAGCCTTAACTTTTCAAGTTTGCTTTGCAGCAGAATCTCCCTTTAGGGTCCTAGAATCTGCTTTTCAAGGGGACCCAACTAAGGCCAGAGCCAAAAATGCAGCAGTGTTCTCGAGGAGAGTCCCAGGCCTTTTCACTTGTGACCTTGGGCAAGTCACTTAGCTTCAGTTTCCTCACTTGGAAAGGGAGTTCATGACATCCACCCTGACTCTCTTACTAGGCTGTTGTGAGAATCAAACTTAATAATAGATGTGGGGCAGAAGTTTTTTGTGACTGGTGAATTTCTTTGAACATTTGTGAAGTATATGGTTAATTTCATCAACTGAAATGAGTAATTTGTATCAAACATTCTCTGGAACCACTTTTTTCCAGCCCCAGATTCAAGATTGCAGAATTAGAACTTCTTTCTAACCCTGGTGTTTTCTTTAGGCATTGTAGATTTCTGATGATTGAATGCAATTGAAAACTGATTCAAAGTTACTTTGTTAGCAGACATTTATACGGTGCTAAGGAGGTGCCAGGTAGTGTTCTAATTGCTTTACAAATATTAATTTATTTAACCTTCACAATAAACATATGAGCTAGATACTTAGAAATATCAACCATTTTTTCACATGAAGAGATACTGTCTGTAAACATTCCTTCGTTACTTCGTAAAACCCCTGCTCTTCACTGTGGTAATGAGTCCACTCTTGAGCTGCATAATTGTAGCACACTTAACGAGAGGCTGATTGGATAATAAATTGCTCCTAGATTCTGGATCTACTGTTTCCTCCAAGATAATTTATCTGAAAAAACATACTGTGATTTTGAAACTGTAATGTTTTGAGCTTTGGCCATAGCTTCATGACAATCTGTTTAAAAATTCACCTTCTAGTCATTGTAAAGACAGACTAGTTTAGACATCCATACTGAAGTTGAGTTTACACTGCCTTCTGCTAAATACATTTATGCCTTAGATAATTTGGTCTCTTGGCTCTTTGTTGGTTAACTCTTTTTGTGAATGAACCTTAGCTTAATGGCAGGCAAAAATATTTATTGAGCATGCTGGGTTCCAGGTACTCTGCTTAATGTTGAGAGTTTCTAACAATGAACGAAACAATCTTTCCTCTCAAAGAACTCAGTCTGCTGCTTATATTTTTTACCCATTTTGAATCTCCAAGGGCATAAATAACCAGCTTTTAATAACCAGCAGGCAGGCAGTTGGTTTGGCTTTTATTAGTAGAAGTTAGGGGAAGGGGTTGCGATATAGGGGAGGTTGGGATGATTTTGGAGACAAAAGTTTAGGCATTGATTATTAGAGGGAGAGGGAAATCATATCAGTGGATAAAAACAAGACTTTTTTTCTTTGCAGAGGATTATAGAGAAGGAAGTTCTGGGATAGATTACAAGGAAAGATGTATTACTGACATGCCATAATTATGGTTTTCAATGTAGTGGTTAAATCTGAAAAGTGCCCTTTTAAAAAATGTTACTCAGAGCTTAAAGGCAAATTTTGATGTGTGATACAGATCAGCTCACATTAAGATGAAAGGCAAGAGATCTTTCAGTTTACTCTTTTCATCTAAAATTATAATAGTTTTGGGCCTCCCTGGTGGCACAAGGGGTTAAGTCTCAGCACTATGAAGCTATTGGCAGCCACTGCAGCAGGAGTTCTATTCCAGGCAGGGAGCAACCCACATGGCGCAGCAGACCGCTCTTCTTGTCTCGCCCGCTGCTCCCCTCAGCAGTGTATTTCAGTAGATCTGCCTGTTCTGCTCCCCACTCTGTCTCTGGTGAATCCTCTCCCCCCTCTCCCTCCAGCCCCACACCTCTGGCCTTGTATGCATAAATAAGTAAAATAAATCTTTAAAAAAAATAAAATTAGAATAGTTTTGTCATAGCAATTTTATAAGGGTTTCCATTTTATAATTGTTTTCCTTCAGTATAAACATTTTAAGCGAATTGCTAAGTTCCTAGGAGATATGATTTCTGGAAACTAACATTTTGGTTAAATCATGTGAGTTGATTTTTAAAATAACAGCTCTATTGAGACATAATTCACAGTCAATACAATCCACCAACTTAAAGGATACATTTCAGTGGTTTTTCATATGCTCACAGAGTGGTATGTTGATTTGTTTTTAGATTCACCTGGGTTGTTTCCAAAATAATTGAAAGTGTCTGTGATATTTCATTGCTTCTGATTTTGAAAATATTTGCTGGTCTTGACTTGCCAGTGGATAGCTGAATCATAACATCACCCATAGATGCCTTTAGCAACTTCAAAGAATTCAGCATTTGTGGAGCAGGTTTTATTAATTAGAACTATACGAATCACCGGCAGCAATAAAATGGCATGCTAGTCCTCACACGAGGTTCCCAGACAGCATGGATGGCACCATAAAAACTATAGAATGGTCAGGATTACCTGTAGTTGTTAATTAGGAATCCCCAGGGTGTGTGTCAGGATGCTGACTTTTTTAACAGTACCAGAGGATTTAAAAATCCCTGCTTGAGAGGCCATGTAGGCTCATAGAAGAAACAGCTGTTTCGGTCAGTAGATTGTCTATCTATAACCTTCCTTTCTCACCCTGGTCCCTCATACCCACAGAAACCACATGGCCTAGATTTTTTTTCTGGCGTAGTTCTAGTTTTATATTCCATGTCACTCCTTTAAACCATCAGTTCTGAAATGCTAACATTTTGGTGTCAAAATTATATTTCACAGACTGTTTCCAACACCTTAAAGCAGGACTGAAATCTTGTCGCTGGTCATGTGCCTTAATTTGGGGGGCGGCCGGGGACCGAATCCGCACTGCAGAGGCTGTGGGCAGCCTCGCAGCCCAGTGCTCAACCTCTGTGCCACTGGGGGAGGCCCTCTCTGGCACTTTTAAGGGCACTGCTGTCTCCTTGTCCCTAAGGTTGGAAGCAGCAGCATCTCTTTTTGTGTTTCTCAGATTCTACTTCTTTTCCAATTTTAGTTTTACCTGACCTTCAGCAGACAGGTCTCTGTTTTAATGACCTGTGTACATTTCTATCTTACTGTAGTCATTTGTGTATGTCTGCAACTCCTACAGTAGTGAAAGCCCCCCGAGATGTGGGTAGGGTTTTGTTTACCTCTGGTAAAGCCTGGCATAATGTCTTATATGTGGCAGGTGATCATTAAGTATGTGCTGAATGAATGAAAGAATACTTAAACAGGAGAGAGAGAGAGACTGAAAATAATGGTTTGGGATGATTAGTCCACTTGTTGTAATAAAGGGTATAATGAAGTCGTTAAGCAAGTAAGCACATTTTTAGGCATGTTGAACTAAGATGAGTAATAGAGTGGAGAGCTGGGAGTCAGGGAGACCAAGGAAACTTGCAGAACACAAAATATGAATTGATGGAGGTCAGGTAGACTGTGACTCAGGCTGAGCTGTGGGAAGGGGACAAATCTGAGACAGGGCTCTGTGCTGACTTAGATGTATAATGGGAAAAGGAGGGAATGGTATAAGATGATGCCAAGAGCACCAGCCTCGGAAACTAGAATTTAATTACCATTACATCATACATTTTTGCTGACTCTGTGGAACTTGAAAGCTACTCTTTAGACTGCTTGAGCAAAACAGAACACTTAGGATTTTGAAATTTGTCCTGAAATTTGTCACTGTCTCTTGAAGTATGAAAGGCTTATGTGTGGCCCACTGGCTAGAAGATGACAAAGAGGTTCTAATTCTAACGAGAGTTGCTACTGCCAGATAAGCAGGTTAAATCTTCCTGGTTGCTTTTAGCTCTAAACTAGGGGATCACTGAAGGAAGGTCTATGATTAGGATTCCACGAATTTAACTGCAGCCACCAAAGGGCCACCCCTTTGGTACTCTCACCTTTCTGTAGGAAAGTGTGGGAGAGGATTGATGAGCCCTCTTAAATTAAGGTCTTATCTCAGAAGGTAATTTAGCTTCTGTTTTTTGTTTTATGATGAATTTTGCCTACACTGGGGAACCTATGAGCACTTGGCCCAGTGGAGGATAGCTCCTAGGCCCTAGGAAAAATCACTGTGTGGGCAACCCCTCTCCTCCCACTCCACTGCAACAGCTGTGTGCTCTTCCCCAGGTGGTCTTCCCAGACATT